CTAGCTTCACCTTTTTCCTCCTCGTATCCCTTGTCTTATGATCGAGGATCCGAATCGGCCTTTCCTCGTAGGTAAGAGACTCATCTATCTCTACTTCCTAGGGTTGGATTACATGGGTACTATCCGGGATATACTTCTTCAGCTGTGAGACGTGGAACACGTCGTGTACCTACACTCGGTCCCAAAAATACCTCTAAGAAAAATTACCATAGGATCTAACCTAACTTAAGGTGTAACTTGTACCTTTTCCAACTCCATGGGTAGGGCTAAACGGTAAGCCACCGTCCCAATCTTCTCGACTATGTCGTATGGCCCAATGAATCGAGGGCTTAACTTTCCCTTTCTTCCAAATCTCATCACTCTCTTAGTGGGAGACACCTTTAGCAACACCTGCCATTCACACATGATTAAAGCTTCATGTACTTAGCGTATACTCAACTATTGATTCAAAATTCGGGGAGTTACCTTATCACCCACTTGGAACTCGGCTGGCCTCCTCCCTTGATCGGCGTACGACTTCTGTCTATCTTGGGCAGCTTTCAATCTTTCCCGTATCAACTTGACCTTCTCCCCAGTTTCCTATAAGTACTGGGGTCCAAACACTACTCCTTCGACCGCGTCTTCCCAACACAAATGACTCCTACACTTCTGTCCATACAGAGCTTCATATGGTGCCATTTTGATGCTCGAATGGTGACTGTTGTTGTAAGAAAACTCGATTAAATCCAGGTGTTCGTCCCATGAACCATGAAAATCCATCATACAGGCTCTAAGCATGTCTTCCAAAGTCTGCCCGTCGGTCTCAGGGTGGAAGGCTGTGCTCAACTTAAGCTTAGTACCCAAAGTAGCTTGCAAGGTCCTCCAAAACTGGGATAAGAAATGGGAGTCCCTGTCAGATACTATGTCTCGGGGTATCTCATGATACTTAACCACTTTCTCAATGTAAGCTCTGGCCAATTGCTCCATCGTCCATGTCTCTTTCATGGGTATAAATCGAGCAGTTTTGGTTAGCCGATCAACAATCACCCATATTTTATCCTCCCCGGTCTTTGTCAAAGGTAAGCCTCCCACGAAGTCCATTGAGATAGAGTCCCACTTCTTTTCTGGTATATCTAGGGATTTCACTAAACCTTTAGGTCTGTTCCGTTCGGCTTTAACTTTTTGACAATTTAAGCATCGCTGCACGAACTCGGCTATTTCTCTCTTCATTTTTGGCCACCAGTAATGCTTCTTAAGATCTCAATACAACTTGTCCCCACCAGGGTGTACTGAATAGGGAGTACAATGCCCCTCTTCCATGATTTGCTTCTTAATCCCATTACATTTCATGGGTACGCACCAACGTCCCTTGTACCTAATGCTCCTATCTGAATATACTTCAAAAGGCCCACATTTCCCATCGACCATCTTGGCCTTAACTCTTTCCAACTTGACATCCCCCGGTTGATTTTCTCTTATCTCATCAAAGATGCTCGGTGTGATCCTCAAGGTGTACAATGCCACTTCCCGGCTAACTTCACCACTATTTCTTATTTCCAAATTTAGTCGTTGAAACTCTCTACACAACTCATCAGGCACAATCCAAATACCTCCCAAAGAGTGACTAGATTTCCGGGTAGTAGGCCGCCACACGGGAGCTAAAGTTTGAGGCCTGCCAGGGTCATTGGCCAGCGGCGCGCCCGGTCTTAGTCGGTCGGGTGGTGACGGACAATCGATTTCCCTACGGCTTTGGCCACGGCAGAGGGCTCGGTCGGGTCGGATCCCTCGGGCAGGGCAATCGGTCGAGCGATCGCACGAGCTGACGGCTGGCTCGAGGGGACGCGAGGTGGGCGACCCGACCGTCTTATCCGAAGGACGGTCGGTCCCGACCGTATGGTTGGCCTACCGGGGGTATATCCCTATCAGCTACATTTAAAATTCATTATTAAAACTGTCAATGTAGGGCAATAGAACATCGTAACACACTTGATGCACAACAATGTTGCAATCAATTTGGTAAACCTAGAAAATGAAGAAATTTCAAAATAGTCACCGCTGATTCATTCATTTATCCTGTATATAAAATGTTGTGCATTCATTAAATATATTAGAACTAATATAAATTTACAATTCATTTCATCTTCTAGACTCAATTTGCTTAGATTACAAGCAAAATCAACATCAACATTCACAACAAAAATACTTTCTATATAGGATGTAGTCACTATTTAAAAAAAACTTATGCACAAAGTTGAAAACAATTTAACTCGAAGGTTAATATCAATTCAATAAATAAATAAACACACACACACACACACACACACACACACACACACACACACACACACAATCAAGTACTACACTCATTCTTACTAATTTTAAAAATATGAACTTGAAAATGAACATGTGCAAAATGGATGTGGAAATTATTGATGAAACTGGACACGTTGCAGCATAAATATTCGAACTACTTGCAGAGTTGTTGTTACTATCAAGTAAACAAGTTATGAAAATAGAACAACGGGTACTACTCATGAACCTCATACAAATATAATAAATATTAATACTTTATTCAATACTTCCACATGAAACATGTATGGGAACAAACTACTACTGCAAAATATCAACATGCACTTGAAAGATCAAGAGTTCATAGTACAACTAAGATCACAGTCATATACACAACAAGAAAAATCCACAGCTTCCTACACCATAACCTCATTGTATGACGTTGTCATCTATGCTACCAACAATAACCCAATTGCAAATAACGCACTACCAAAAAAAGGGAGAGGACAAATAGTGACAAGTATTTATACTATCAATTTTACAAAGTTGTAAACATTTATTTTAGTGACAATTATAATGAATTTCCTATATTATCTTACATTCATATACTTTGAGTTACATATTTAAATAAACAAATTCGACATTCAGTTACCTATGTATAAACTTCTCTTATATAATCTTGCATTGATATACTTTCAAATATTTATTTAAATATAAACATTAGGCATTAACTTGCGCAATGCGTGTGTAAAACTAGTTATATAATACAGAGTAACTTTTAATTATAAAAGATTGAATTGAATTAATTAATAACGTAAAGTTGTAAACAAACAAATAAAAATAATTGTTAATATTAACTATATAATATTTTAAATAATAATTTATTATTCTTATTTATAATTTTAATATAATATAACAAACTTTTTCTTGAAAACAATGAAAAAAACCATATTATTTAGGGAAAATGATAGTGGTTTAAACTTTATTTGAAAGTGCAATTAGATCCTTGAACTTTTAAAAAGTGCAATTGAATATTCAAATTTATCATTTTAGTGCATCTAATACCAATAATCGATAATTTATCTGAAATAACCAGTCATTAAGATTTCAGTGATAATTTCGGCAAAAAAAATTCCCACGACTCTTTGAATTAAAAAATAATAATCTGGCGACCGGTCTTCTTCTTCACCGGAGAAGACGACCAATGGTCGCCTTCTCAAGTGGAGAAGACAACCAACCGGTCGGTCGTCTTCTCCGGTGGAGAACCGGAGATGGCTAATGGTATTTTTATTTTATTTTTTTAACAGGCATAATTTTACTGGTAATCAATAGGTTATCGGTAAATCAGACTTAATTGACTCATTTAACAAGTTTGAGTGTTTAATTACATTTTTTTTAAAATTTAAATGTCTAATTGTACTTTCGAGTAAAGTTTAAGGATCTATTTGATAATTATCCTTATTATTTATAAAAGTCCCAGGCAAAATAGATTCAAAAAACAAAGGAATATATAGTGACGTGTCACTCCCCCAACTTGACATAAGGGAGCTTAAAAGGGGGAGAAAAAAAAATGGAGCATGAGACTCCCACCTTATAACAGGGGAGCTTCATGCTCACTTTGGAAAGGCAATATGGAAACAAAATTATGTTTTGGCAAATTTCCAAAGATGAACGCTGCAAATTGTAGCGTTTGTAAAGTTGGCGATTTGTGATTAAAATGCTACCTAAATCAATTGTTAACCAAATGAAATTTTTGACATTTTGATCAGGTCAAACCACTAAAGTGGTCAAATTCGTCAAAGCATCATTTACCAAACAAAGCCCTTGGGTTGAGGGTTTGATGTGTTAAAGTGGAATGTGACTAAAAAATGGTGGGTTTCTAGTCCATCAATTATCTTTGTTGATTTAGTATTTCATTTATTTGAAATGTATATTTATTCCCCCAATTATTATTAAAGTGCAATTTAGTCACTTAGAGAGACTATTTATGTCATCAATATGTCACTTAATAAATTAGTTGATTTGATCGCTCAATACCTAAATTCGTTACTTCGATAATAAGTAAAAGGCTAAATCTGCACCCCGAACAAAGTGAGGAACTAAATATATATTTTACTTATAATTAAGGGACTAAAAATGTAATTTTCACTTATTATAATTATTATTAATCGTTATAACTATAATAAAATTTATTTTAATATAAATAATAATGATTATCATCATTAAAGTAATTAATATTCTATAAGAAATAACTTTGTAATATATGTATATTTATGTTTAAAAAGAATGAATCAAACAAAAATATATATATAATTTTATAACTTTCAGTCAAACAAAACAAATTGGTTGTTACTTCAGCCAAACATTATAAAATAAAAATATATTTCAAAAAACTTCATTTTCCTAATATTATTTTTAAAAAAATGTTTATTGTGTTTCTAAATGGATATCTAGTCAAACACTTTTTCTATAAAAAAAAAATCAAAATTTACGTATGTTTTTATTTTTTACTTTAATATTTAATTATTTAGTATCGTTGAATTACTGTATTTTTTTTTCACAATTTTTGTATGACTAGAGTGTTAACACCCAACTGAACATTGAATCCTTTGTAGAATGGGTGGAGGAAGCCCTCAAGAATATGCCTATAGTCCGTTATGAAATGTTTGTGATGTTTTGTTGGAGTCTTTAATTGGGAGGCTAGAAATGATAAAGTGTGGAATAATCGAGCAATGGAGCCAAGAGTAATTGCTGAAAGGGCAAGACATTTTCTCCAAGAATGGCAAGTAGTAGCAGTTGATCATCACTTAAGCACAATGCTAGTACCACATTCTGTATTGAGATGGGAAAAACCTACTCCTAGATGGACAAAATTAAATGTTGATGCCGCACTAAACCTGGAAACAAATACAGTGAATTTTGGTTGGGTCCTTAGGGATGAATACGGCTCTTTCATTGCGACAGTCGGCTCACCTAGTTGTGGTGGATACTCTCCAAAGATAGCAGATCAGAGGCCTTGGCGATTCGTGAAGCATTGGGATGGATAAAGTGACATTAGTTTTTCAAAGTTTTAGTTGAAACAGATACATTACTTGTGGTGCAAAGCCTAAAAAATCCTAATGAATAATGATGTGTCTTAAAGATATTCTAGAAAACTGAATAAATTTTCTTTTTGCACTCAAGAACAAAAAATGTACTCCGTATTATATTATTCAGTGCTTTCTTTTTATTCTTCCAACTAGCATGTCACCTGTGCGATGCACGGTCTATAAATTTGTTTAAGTTAATAATAGAAAAGTAAAATTTTTTAAATTAGATTATGTATATTGTAATATGAGATGTTATTAAGAAATAATAGTTTTTAATATATATATATATATATATATATATATATATATATTTATTTATTTATTTATTTATTTATTTATTTATTTATTTATTTATTACAAAGCACCGCAATAATGAAGATGGGGAATAATTAATAAAAATATTGTAATTATAGATTATTAAAAACTTCGTTGTAAACAACATTATTTGTGGAACACTCTAATAACATGATTTTGATTTTGATTTGATGACGACCCATTGTTTTGCAACAGACTTGTAATCTCTCGTTGATCTAAAAATTAATTTTCTACAAATATGAAGAAAGTGATTCTAATTAATATGAATTATAAAAGTAAATAAAACAATATATATAGTTATATAACACGGTGAGAGCACGTGTAATGCACAATTTTATATAACATTAAAGAGGGCGTGAAGGCTCTAGAAGCCGCTTCATCCCTCGATCAATTCATCTCTCCTCTCACCGTTGCGACAACGCCGTTGCTCTCTCTTCTCTCTCTATTACCGTCTATCCTTGATCAATTACTACCTGTCCAAACAACCATAATCTGGAGCAATTTCTCAACATAAGCTACTTTCTTAGTTCATCCGGAGAAAGGTATGAAGTTCCTTCGTTTGATTTCTCAGACTAGGGTTAGGGTTTAAGTCTAGCATCTGTGTTCATCATCTCAATGTTTTAGATCGTTTTTTTTTTCATTATTTAGTATTTTATTCTTTGTTTCAGAGTGCATTCGCTTGTGCTATCATTCTCTAAAATTACTAATCTTGTATATTTTTTTATTCTTTTTTGTGTGCGAGGATGAACTTGGTGTAATGATTGCTTTGGTAAATCCACATGTCATCGTAGTATTTTAACAATGTTGTATTAGCCATTTAGCCTGAACTTCTTTTGACATATTGAATGAGTTGTTCACTAATTATGTATGAGCACTAAAATTTTAGCAGATTTCTCTATTCTTGAGTTGTTGTTTTACCAAAATAGATTCAGGTTTTAAATATTTGTTGTCTACTTTAGCTTGTTAAATGTCAAATTAGAATTATCATTTTAATTCTGTAACTCCACCTTTAACCATTTTTTTTATAGTTTTATCATCAAAATATTTTTCCTTGTTTTTAATTTTGAATAATTTTAATAGCTCAGGAATTTGATGATCTACTTATATCATCAACTACTTATTTGATACAAACAATTTCAGCAGATGTGCTAGTCCAATGTTGCCTTGTAGTAGTTTATCATGGTTCTACTTAATCAATTTTTATAATATGGTTGGTTTACTTAAGGTGCTACTGTTTTAAACTTATATGATTACACATACTAAACTTATATTATATATTATTTGCCATGCTTCAGGTGTGTGCTATGTCAACAAAAAATGAATAAATTTTATGAGTTAAAATCTCACACTTTGTTAGTTAACATCGTAGACAGTAGGTTATGCTATTTTTTAAAGATGTTCTTAACTCAAATGCAAATTTGCAAAGCAGCATGTGTTGCATTCAATTTAAGTATCATACTATAGTGTAGTTACTTGATTTTGGATTTTATCATACAGGTTGGCTGTTTTTTCTGCTGTGAAGTGGATAATGGTGAAGGCAAACAACTTAATAGAAGGTACTATGCTGTTTGGAATTCAATAGTTGTAAGTTATAAGATCTACTTGCTAGGTAGTGTTAATATAGTTTGTACTTCATCTAATTAATTACCAATTTTGTAGGTTTAAATTCATCTCAATAATCGAAGATAATTAGAAAGTGTCTTCTCTTAGGCAGGTATTATTCTGACTAAGTAGTTATTATCATTTTAATTTTTAATAGTTTCTTTATTGTAATATCAGTTTGACTTAATGAAATTATTTTCTAAATTTGCAGGATTCAACTCATTTCACAACTTAAGTAGAGTTGATGGTGTCCTAAACTGATTTCATTAAATTGTGAAATGTGGAATGTCCTTAAATCTACCAAAAAGGTACAATGCTCTTATTGAATAATTTATTTATCTAGATTGTCAAGAGCAATTAATTAGCAGTAGTTACACATTGTCTCTGCATAGTAATCCTATGTGGAATCTGTACACATGATGTCTTTTCAGCATGTTTCTTGAATCTTTGTTTATTCCATTGCCTCACCATCCTTCTTGAGATTGTACCTGAAGAAAAAATCAAGAAAACTGCAAGATAGATAATATAAAACTGTCCTATAGAAACCAATAGTTCAAACTTAGACATAATTGGCACTTAGGCCAAAAACCACAGTCCAAAATAATGATTCAGATGTCAAACAGGGCAAAAGACAGTTCTGAATATTGTTTCACATCCCAACAGAACCAAAACATTTTTTCAAAAACCAAACTGCTCTAGGTCACATGTTATTTTTTTCAGATTCACAGTCACTTGTTTATTCTTTTTTGAGCTTTGTGTGGATGATAATTCATCCAGGAGACACCTTTGGACTGAACCACTTCCATCACCACTCAATTCCTTCACTGGCTTCAAAGCAGGACTTTCAGCCTCGTCATCATCCTCATTGAAGAATCCCTGCATATATAATGTTCAAACTTAGATTCCGGTTAAGAAAACCACAATGATTATAGTTTAGAATTATATTAAGTTAAGAACCTTACCTCATCAATGTAAGTGAACTGAGAAAGTTGCATGCTTGGTTTTGAATTTTTCTAAAAGTGAACTTAGAAACTCACTTGGGTTTGAATTTTTCTACTATTATGATCATACTTTACTCTTGATGATTTCAGGTACCAATGGCATTGAGAAACAGGTTACTTGGTATGCTGTTCAAATCCCATAAAAAAGATTTCTAACTGTTGGCATTGAAGCAGGTTGCATGGTAAGCATGGCATGGTATGCTGTTGAAACCCCTAAAAAATGGTTTCTAACAGTTTGCAATGCATGTGTCTATACTAAGCTTTGCCTCTATCAGTCCCTCTCCCCTAAACAAATGAGAAACACAAACAAACTTCATGAGACAGAGCAGGGTTTAAAATGATAGAAAGAGAAATATCACCTTTGTTTCTTGAACGGCTTCATGAGACAGAGCAGCTACACTGCAAATGTGGGGTTTCACCATGTATGCAATATGGACTATTTATAGGTAGTTTCCTCCAACATTTAGTTTCAAAATTATGTACTTCTTGAACACCATGCTTGCTTGCTTCTGTTGTAAGTAAGTTTGGGAAACCAATGTACCTCTCAACCAATGTATATTTTTATCAGTTAAATATATCTTTGTCAGACTAAAGCAATATATGAGCAAGAAAAGCTACAGACAATGTCAAATCAAATCAAATCAAATATTTTTTAAAGGCAATAATTTCTAATAAAAAATCGAAAAGGAAAAAAACCTCCAAAGTTTTGAGCGGGAACTTACACCAAAATTTATTTGACTTTATTATAGTTAGGATTAAATAGAGACGCGTTGTTTTATGCACTTTATCATCTTTCCCGCCATGCTCCCTCTACCATAATTATATGGCTTAAAGTTAAAGCTAAAAACAGTGCTAAATAATCGAGATCTCATTTCTTCTTCTTTTTCTCCTTTCTTCCACATTCCAACTTTCTCAAACTCTCTCCTCTGCAAATCCGAAGCCAATAACATCATCATCGGCTATGGCTTTCGCTGCTGCAACTACTTTAATGGACATCCTACACCACAACTTCCTCCAATCCAAACCGCTATTCACTCTCCGCACCAAATGGAAGGTCAGATTTCTTTACCGGAATGTCTCAAGACATTCATAAATATATTTCATTCCTATTCTCCAAATACACATGTAGCTATTTATACTGATAATAAAATTACCCACCACCCATTTAACTATCCACTACCCCATTACTTGTATAACTTCCTATTACATGCCTAAAATAGTGGTTATTCCACTATACAATAATAATAATAATAATAATAATAATAATAATAATAATAATAATAATAATAATAATAACTCCAGCAAAACCATGAGTGTATCACTGCGGGTTTACTTTTTTAAGACGCATCCCGACCTACCACCCGTCCACCCGTTACCATTCAAAAAAATCCGATCCATGCGGGATGGATTCAGGTAGATATCTACGGGACGGATTGAAATTGTCATCCCTAGTTTAGTACGTCAAAATGGTCGTGGCTTGCTCCTCTGTCGAAACTGAATATTGAGCGTTAGCAAATGCTGCTGGTGAAGTTATATGGGTTCAAACTCGATACGGGATGGATATCTCTCTTTTTAGTTTTCTAGTCTCGTGATAATATGCGTGCCACATATGTTTGTGAAAATTCAATTTATTTTATATTTTTGGATGAAGCATACTGTTTTGAATTATTTTTTTGTCCGATAGATTATGTTACTAGAAGTATGTCCGACCTATTTTTACGAGACGACTTCCCAAATTGGTGATAATTGTTGGGTAATATAGAGGAAAAATTTCAAAATAATAATCCTACGGAAAGATTATTAATATATGGGAAAAACAGGAAAAACTGGGAAGGGAAATGTGGAGTGTTTGGTTAAAGGTTAGCACGAGTTTGAACACAAAGTTCTTTTCCTTAAAACCTTATTTGCTACCTCCCACAAGTGCTAGGAGTGTTGTAGCCTAGGTTTCCTATGATAAAATGTGCTACGATTCTTTGTTTAAGCACCTAAACAAGGAACCCGACAAACAAAGCAAAGCAGTGAACACTGTTGGCTAAAGAAGAGAGTAGAAGCAGAGTTTTGGTGCTGAAAACTTACTGGAATTCCTTTGTTTCTTTCAAAAGCTTCTGCCCTACCTCTCTTTACGAAGTTTGGCATAACTTAACCCGCAAGGTCGGCGCACGCGAGCTTGAATCAAACATTTTCGATCTCTTCGTCTCACTACGAAAAATCCGAATCCACTTTGACCAGATCTAAATCGGAAGTAGACCCCACTGATAATTGTACCACAAAATAGCCACTTAATATGTCATTTTAAGTTATTTTTCCAACAATAACTTCACAAAGGGTTTGAGTGGATGATCCTTTGAATGTTTTCTTTCCAAGATAAGAGTCTCCGACTTATTCTCCGATCCATCTAAGGGATCCTAATTATTTATGTTTTGTAATTTTAATTAATGTGTTTGTATTTGAATCATTCTAGATGCATGACTTGGGTTGCTCTTTGTAACTTTTACTTGGCAATCACCAATCAGCTTATGTATTGGCAATCACCAATAAGCTCTCCCTCCATTAAAAGTCTACGGTCTACCTAAATTAATTAATTATATCAAATGCCGGCAGATTTTGAAGATAGAGTGGACTTTGAGACAATCGTTAAGGTAGACACGGTTCTATATTCATAATTATTAAATTATATGTTTATAATTATAAAGTTATATATTCATAATTTTTTAATTTTATATTCATAATTATTAAACTCTATATTTACAATTACATAACTCTATATTCATAATTACTGAACTATATGTTCATAATTATAAAACTATATATCTATACTTTTTGAATTTAATATTTACAATTATTTGAATCTTTATATTTATAATTATAAAATTATGTTTATAATTATGTTCACAACTGAGTAAATACCCAAAATGGTCCCTCGACTATAGCTAAATTCACAAATTGGTCCTCAACTTTCGATTTCACCCAATTAAGTCCTTAACTTTGTAATTTTAACACAATTTGGTCCTTTGTCTATTTGACCGTTTGTTGACTGTGATTTTTGAGGATATATATGTAATTTTATGGTTCATCGTCGGTTTTTTAAGGTTCCGGTTGTATTTTCAGACCGCACTGTTACATTTGAATCCACTGTCGAAAGCAATCTACCAAACCCGGTCACCTTCTTCATCCTCCCTTTGGATTCAATGTAGTTGAATTCGTACCAGAGCGAAGAAGACGACGTGTTTCCGAACCGGTGCAACGTCATCCTGGAGGCCTCCACGTGCTCCGACGAGACCTGAAGGTTCTTCTGGAGATCGTCGATCACGGTCAACAAACGATCAATTAAATGGAGGACCAAATCGTGTCAAAATTGCAAAGTTAAGGATTTAATTGGGTGAAATTGAAAGTTGAGGACTAATTTGTAAATTTAGCTATAATCGAGGGATTATTTTGGATATTTACTCTTCACAACTCTATGCTCATAATCATAGAACTATATATTTATAATTTTTTAACTATATATTTATAATTATGAACTATTTTAGAACTGTCTCAAAGGTGGATACGGTTTCACTGCATAATTTGCCACCGGCGAGATGATCAGAATGAAAAGTACACATCTGAGCTTTTCAATTTTCATACACCTCTCAGCAAAACCAAAACCTTCTTCTTAGCTCTTCGACTGCATCTCACAATTCAAGTTATGGCTTACGCTGCTGTAACTATTTTAATGGACACACTGCGCCAAAACTTCCTCCAACCTAAACCCATATTCGCTCTTCGCAGAAAAACGAAGGTCAGATCTCTTTACCGAAACCTTTGCGCTTTGCAAACCTCTCTTCTAGAAGATTCCAAGGCAGTGAAAGGTTTGGAAGCACGAATCAGAGATGTCTCCGTTGAAATGAGGTTCCAAATTGAACAGCTGCTGGTGAGATTGTTTCACCTCGGGAAAGCAATGAAGGCTAGGCGTAAATCTGCTCAAAAGCTTCTTCCAGTCTTGAATCGGCCGATAGAATACATAAAACCCGAGGATTTGGGTCTTCTGTCGATTAAACTAGAGGAGCTAATTTTGCGCTTGATGAGAAAGTATTCTGTGTCGCCAGTATCCCGTGTGCCGAGTCATATAAAGAAAATTCTCAACTCTCTATGCATAGAGCTTCAGTTATGTTGTTCAAGAACACTGGTGAAACTAGAGCTGCACTTCAATCTGCCCGGCATGCCAGTTCATATTAAAAAACGGGTCAAATCTCTCTGCAAAAAGCTAAGGTTTCACAGTTCAAAACATAGCCCAAATATCTCAACGCAAAGGTTGATTATTGAAGCAAAAAGTCTAATAATTCAAGAATTGAGAGCCTGTCATCTCAAAAAGTACAGCAAGCAAAGAAAAGAGGCTCGACAAAGGCTTCGCTTAATGTTCAGACTAGGAAATAAATTCACAGCTTACATCAAGAAAGAGCTGTTGAAGGGGTCTGAAAGTTCACAGCAACTGCACAATGCTACATCACTTGGAGATTTGGAACACAACAAATGCCTTACAACAGTTGGTGATTCCTCACAACATACTTCTAAGTCTGCAATCAAAATGGTGGGGTGCATTGATGAGCTCAACACAATAATGCGCAAGCTGAACCGACAATCTTTGGAACGAGAAATTGTCTCAATTCTGGGGATGGGAGGTATCGGCAAAACAACCTTAGCTAAAAGAGTTTATCAAGATGCATCAATTATTTCCCACTTTGATTGTCGAGCATGGGTTACTGTCTCACAGGAATATGATTCAAGACAAGTGCTCCAATGCCTTCTGAATTCTGTTTCCTCAGAGAAGATTGAAATAAATGAAGATGCCAACATGTCCATGTCCAACCACCAACTGGCTGAGAATGTATACAGATGTCTAAAGCTTCGCAGATATTTGATTGTAATAGATGACATATGGAGTAAAGATGTCTGGAATAATTTACGGAATTGTCTCCCAGAAGATCACAATGGAAGTCGAATTTTGTTGACCACTAGAATAAAAGATGTGGCTGAGCATGCTACTCCAGGTAGCAACTTTTGTCATAACATGCGATTTTTGGATTCACAAGAAAGTTGGAACCTTTTTCATAACAAGGTGTCTGAAAAAATATTTTTCTCCCCTGAATTTGAAACAATTGGTAGAGGTATAGTAGAGAAGTGCAAAGGGTTACCTCTTGCAATTATTGTGGCTGCCGGACTTCTCTCAAAATCCAAGCAAACCTTGAATGAATGGGAGCATATTGCAAAAAATCTTAGTACATTGCTAAATCAAGATGATTCTGATCAGCAATGTGTGAGCATCCTTAGTCTGAGTTACACCTTCTTACCTCTTCACCTTAAACCTTGTTTTTTGTCATTTGGGCTTTTTCCTGAAGACTCTGAGATTCCCATAGAAGAGATTGTTTATTTTTGGGTTTCAGAGGGATTTCTAAGTGTCATGAGATCTAAGAGCTTGGAAGATGTGGCTAGGGAGTCTATACAAGATCTTATTGATAGGAATCTTGTTCAAGTTTGTAGTCTTAATGCTAGTGGAAAAACCAAGAAATGCCAGATCCATGATGTGTTGCGTGATTTGGCCCTAATAGAAGCCAAAAGGGAGAATCTTTTATATACCCATAAACAGCATAAAGATAAGGTCATGCTTCTAAAGTATAAGAGAACTCAACCAGTAAGCTTTTCTCTTAAAGCTCAAAGATTGGTTGTTCAATCAAGAATTTCCAGCAGCCATCATTTAAGCCCATTTGATAGCTTCTCTTCAATTCTATGGCTTCAGAAGAATAGTACTAGCCTCAGGTTGCTCTCAAGCCTAGTTTTTGTAAATTTGCAGTTGTTGAGGGGATTGGTAATTTCTAAAATCCTTGTAAAGGATACTAACATACTTTGTCAGGTAATGGGTCTAGTTCATTTGAGATACTTAAGCTTTGAGATGTACCATTTTGATATTAGCTATCTACCGTGGTTTATGCTGTGGAACCTACAGATATTAAAAGTTAATGGAGTAATAGAGTGTGGTGAAACACCTGGAATTTGGGAATTACCTCACGTAAGACATCTTTATCTGAAGAGCATTTATTCGCAACTTCCCCCAAGATCAGTTCAAGATAGCTTGGAGAGTGTTTATTGGTTGGATTACAGGAGTTGTACGAAAGAGTTGTTCATGATGACTCCAAACCTAATGAAACTGGGAATTCATGACTACAAGGGGATTCCAGAATGCAGAGAAGATAACAATTGGTTTGAAAGTCTGGCCTACTTATATAAACTCCAGGAACTAGACATTCTTGGCAACATCATTCATTCCACAGGGATGTGTTTGGAAAATTATCTGCCAAATCTGAAGAAGTTGAAACTTGTCAAAATGAAACTAAAATGGAAGGATATTGATGTGATTGGTACGTTGCCCAACCTTGAAGTCCTCAAGCTGTGTGATGCTGTCTATGGTCCAAAATGGGAAACTATAAGTGGGAGATTTCTTCAATTGAAGTACTTGCTTATAAGTGGTTCAGATCTACAGGACTGGGAAGCAAGTGCTGATCATTTTCCTATGCTAGAACGTCTAGCCCTGAATTGGTGCTACAAGTTGGAGAAGATTCCTTGTGATTTTGCAGATATTGCTACTCTCCAATTAATTGAATTATTTCCATGTTCAAACACCATCATTGCTTGTGCTGAGCATATTCGAGAAGTGCAACAAGACTCTGGAAATGATGCATTTGTTCTTCATTACTATGATCCAATCAGGTTTCTATCTGTGTCTCTCCAAACACCTGAAATTGGGATTCCATTTTTCTTTGAAATGCAATGACTATTTGTGTTATCTTTTTGTTTGAGAGCAATAGATGATTTGTGTCGTAAATGGCAGGGACTCAGGCTATCTCCAAGGGACACCAAATCGGCAAATTTCAACGCCATCCCACCATTTTGTTGAACTCCAACCAGCGGCAAAACGGCAAAAAATTTGACGCTAAGACTTTGGTCCTATGACTTTGGTGTCTCCGTCAACTTAGGTTCACAACTTTCATTCCTAACATAAGTAGTGCTTGACTTTGAATTTTTTTTCATTTTTAGTCCTTCCGGCCATCTGAGCGGCGGGTTTCAATCGGAATTAATGCATTACCTTGTATATTTAGATTTTAGAAGGGTAAATAAGTCTTTCACCATCACTTAAACAATAAACAAAAGAAAAAAAAAAATTTAAAGTCTAACAGCTCATCTTCTTCTCACCCAGAATGTCGGCGACCTCCTCTCCTTTAGCCAGCACCCATCGTAGTCGTCCTTCAGAATTCTCATGGAAAAGTATGCTAAAGGCAAAGAGGGCATCAACAGTGTGAATCCTTTCGCAAGGATCTTCTAATGCTTGGAAGGGTATTGTGGCTGCTAAACCCCTTCTCCTTCAAGGCATGAGAAAATCCATTGGAAATGGGAGGAACACAGATTTCTGGAGGGAGTGATGGATCACCGAGGAACCTCTCATCAACAAAGTTCCTCAGGATATGCGTGTACATGCCCATCATGTTTCTGTTGCTGACATGTGGGAACAAGGTGCAGGTTGGAGATGGCAGGAGTTCGTGGACCTTATTCCCCATAGCCTGCGTGACATCTTTGACTTCGTTAATGTTAGGGAAGGCACTATCGAGCCTGATGAGAGTCTTTGGAGAAAAACAAGCTCAGGTAAGTTCTCGGTTTCTACTGCCTACCATCTTACTAATAGAGACGGTCCCCACTTGCCGGATAAGGGGTGGATTAACATCTGGCAGCTTAAGGTCCCTTGCAAGATGAGAAGTTTCTTGTGGCTGGTGAGACATGAGAGGCTGCGGCCTTGCAACGCTGAAAGGAAGAGGCGACACATCTCTGCAGTTGATGAATGTCCGGCTTTTGTGTGAACAAGGCGGAAACTGTCTGTCGAGCATGTAACCAGAACCTGCCCCTAAGTCGCTAATTTATGGCGCTACCTCCTGGGGAATAGACAGTTTCAAAAGATGGAAGGATTGCATGCCGTTCATACATTGGATCGATATGAATGTTGAAGGAAGGATCAACACCCAGTTTGGGACAGACTGGCCGGCTTTATTCGCAGTAGTATGCCGGTGGGCATGGAGATGGCGTAATGATCTGGTTTTCAACAAAAAAAAGTCTACGAGGACGACTACAAGATACGATGGGTGATGGGTGCTGGCTAAAGGAAAGGAGGTCGCCGACATTCTGGGTGAGAAGAAGATGAGCTATTAGACTTTAATTTGTTTTTTTGTTTATTGCTTAAGTCATGGTAAAAGACTTATTTACCCTTCTAAAATATAAATATATAAGGCAATGCATTAGTTCCGATTGACCCGTCCCTCAGATGGCCGAAAGGACTAAAAATGAAAAAAAAAAAAAAAATCAAAGTCAATAGAAATAAAAGTTATGAACCTAAGGTGACGGAGACACCAAGTCATAGGACTAAAAGTGGAAAAAACTCTATTGAATATATATATATATATATATATATATATATATATATATATATATATATATATATATATATATATATTAATTAAAATTTCAAATACATCAAACATAACTACAACATAATAAAAATTAATGAGAATATTATATTTCAAGAATTTCTTACTTGGCATAGACAAATTAAAGATAAAGAAGTTCATTATGCAGTCGGTAATGCATTGATTGAGCATTTGTGGGAACGATATAGTAATTCTAATAATTAAATGTAATATATGTTTTATGCTATATTATTATTGTGGAATAAACTAAAATTTTAAAAATATTGTTAAATTCATTTTTTTTAAATTAATAATAAAAATTATGGAGTATTATTTACCTTACAAGTTATATTTTATATTAAACTAATTAAGTTCGAACTAAATTATATTAAATGAATTAAATTTGAACTAATAATTGAGAAATCAAATTATTTTAATGTAGAAATTTGGTGTTTTGGCGTAATAGGTTTGAAATATATTCAAATATTTCCAGAATTGTTTTCAACATGCTTTTTGTGTCCTATGGTATTTTGGAATAACTAATTAGATGAAATTGTTTGATTATGCTTCTCTGTTTATTCTTGTCAAATGTTGCGTGATTATTTTGACACTTTTAATTTCGTTACAAAGCCTGACACAATACACAGTCTTTTCACCTTAGTTTTGACATCAATTGTTAGATCTCTCAATTGGATGTGAATAAGGGTGCGTTTGCAAACCCAAAAAATGACTTCCGAAAAATATTTTCTGGAAAATGAGTCATTTTCCAGAAAATATTTTCCTTTCCAGTGATTGACTACATAACGGAAAACTGTCTTTGTGTGTTTGGTTCATTTTCCAGAAAATGAGCAGGAAAATGAAGAATTGAATATTTCAAAATTTTAATTGTTTGGTACTTTTGATAAAATCCTTTTGTAAATAGCTATATATATATATATATATATATATATATATATATATATATATATATATATATATATATATATATATATATATATATAGTTAATTCCAGTAATGGTCCTCCGACTATTGCGATTTTTCAAAATTAGTCCTTGTCTTTTAATTTGGACAAAATAGACCTTTGACTATCAGATTTGTTCCAGCATTGGTCCTTCCGTTAGAGATCAGTTTGTTAGGCGTTAGTTTAGGGGTTAAAATTGTCCTTTCCTTTTCTTCTTCCTCCCTTGTCCGCCTTCCGTGAGTGACGAGATTTTTTGGTCAAAAGCTCTTGGAAATGGAAGGAGTTAAGATTTGAAAACCTAGGTAACAGCTTATATACGTACATCTGGCTTAACAAAACAAATCGGATGACGACTGGTGTGCAACGGCGAAGAGGCACCTCCCCTGTCTCCCACGAATAGAACAGCAGTCCGGCGACGTGGGATCTTGACCGACGATGGGCAGCGGCAGCATCAGCTTCGACGAGCACATCTTCCCGCTGCATGGACGTGACAGTGGTTTAGCTTGGAAATTGTAAGGTGAGGTGTTCATGTTTGATGGTGTTTGGTTTAGGCTTTTAACCGATCCACAGAAACTCTATTTTACAATACGACATTGAAGTTGACTATAATAAGGGAAATTTCTTATTTCATCATATCGTATTTCTGCAATCTGGGTACACAAAGCTCAGAAACTATTAATCATAAGAAAGCAAGCATATAACAAGCGGACAAACAGGGTTCAGATTCTGTAGTTGCGAAGTTACAACAAAATTTGGTTTTCATGACAATTGTCTGACACACAAAATGTGGGGGAAGATGAAGAGAATCATCATCAAACAGGTACAGCCGGCCTGATAGTGAGAAACGCCTTCCAGATTCTTTCGACTGTGGCCTGCAATGTCGAAAGAGATGTTGCATACGAGATTCTGCAATCTATGAGAATCAGTAAATTTAGAAGTCGAACAATATAAACTTCAGTCAGATAGTTGCATAGCATCTTGTTAATGAGTAAACTTTTACCTAATTTTAACAGTTTCGTAAATGTTTATTGGTATTAGCTTGTAGGCACTCTTGCGTTTTACTTTTCTTAGTTCAATATGCATAATAATGAACCAACACGCCAATTATACTTACTTGAACTTTATCCAGCAAATACCGACATAGGGACTCTGAATCAGTAACGGCACTAAATTCAGCTACCTCTACTCCATAGTGAGAGTTGAAGTCAATAAACAAATAGAAAACTTCCTGCAAAAATTGAATGGAGTTAATACAAAGATCAAGGAAGATAAATAGAGATATGTTCACAGATTGGTTTCTCAAGAAGGGAGTGGGGTGGGGGAAGCATTTTAATACTTGGGAGTAGGAACATACAAAGATCAAGATCAAGCTGATGCTGCCGCTGCCCGTCGTCGGTCAAGATCCCGCTTCGTCGGACTACTGTTCTATTCGTCGGAGACAGTGGAGGCCGTTGTCGCTGCCTTTTCACCGCTGCACACCAGTTGTCCACCCTCCAATTTGTTTTGTTAAGGCAGATGTATATAAGCTGTTACTTGAGGTTCTGAAATCTTGACGTCTTCCATTCCCCCAAAGCTTTTACCAGAAAATCTCGTTGCTCACAGAAGGCGGATAAGGGAGGAAGAAGAAAAGGAAAAGACAATTTTAACCCCTAAACTAACGCCTAACAAACTGATCTCTAATGGAAGGACTAATGCTGGAACAAATCAGATAGTCAAGTGTCTATTTTATCCAAATTAAAAGACAAGGACTAATTTTAGAAAATTGCAATAGTCGGAGGACCATTGCTGGAATTAACTATATATATATATATATATATATATATATATATATATATATATATATATATATATATATATATATATATATATATATATATGGAAGGGTTCAGGTGCGGGTATAACTTCCCGTGCGGTTGTGCGGTTAGATCTGAACCGTTGATCAAATTTAGATCAACGGCTCAAATCAATGAAAATTTAAAATAAAAAAACGCATGTCTGGAAGAAAGAAACATAAGCCAAAAATGGCGCACCTTAAGTGATAGAAACAATGACGCACCTTAAGTGATAGAAACACGCACCTTAAGTGTTAGATCTTAAGCACAACCTCACGCACACTAAGTACAAAACCCACACACATTAAGCACAACCTCACGCACATTAAGCACAAAACCCACACACTTTAAATATTAACTCACAGACTTTAAGTTTCAACAACTATTGACATTAAGCACAAACTCACGCACATTAAGTACAAAATCCATGCACATTAAGCACAACCTCACGCACATTAAGCACAAATCCCACGCACATTAAGTACAAAATCCATGCACATTAAGCACAACCTCACGCACATTAAGCACAAATCCCACGCACTTTAAGTATTAACTCACAGACTTTAAATTTCAACAACTACTGACATTAATCACTAACCTCACACACATTAAGCACAAACCCTACGCACATTAAGCACAAACCCTACGCACATTAAGCACAAACTCCACCCACATTAAGAACAAATCTCACGCACCTTAAGCACAAAAGTCCACAATTTAAGTTGTAACAACTACTCACGTTAAGCACAACCACACGTACATTAAGCACAAAACTCACGCACATTACGCACAAAACTCACGCACATTAATCACAGATCCGCTCACATTAATTTTGACCTAGATGCAAAAATTACAAAATTGCCACCGTATTTTTTTTTAAATTTTGGTAATCCTGGACGTTGATTTAAGCGAGATGAATGGCCCCGATTAAACCGCACCTGAGCACCCTAACCGCACCAGAACCTAATTCTATATATATATATATATATATATATATATATATATATATATATATATATATATATATATATATATATATATATATATACCTATATATAGTACTGTTATTGGAGCACTATTATAGAACTAGAAGTTTTATAGTCGCATCAAGCCTGATATTGAATTTGCGATGAAATTGCTAGCAACGTTTAGTGCTCCCTCTACAATGAGATATTAGAATTGTGTTTAACATATCCTCCAACATTTTCGAGGTATAAAGATTTTGACGTTTATGTGAGAAACCAATATGTGGTTTTGATGGGCTACTTGGGTACTGGCTCTTTTATTTGATCCCTATGATGCCAAGTCCCAAACTGGTTATGCTATGTTTTACCCTCCCAATGTCCCATATGAGGACAAATATGATTGTGTTGCACAAGCAAGTAATAGGTTTGTTAAGGGGACCTTACAAAACATATTGCACCTAAGTCCTTCTACACACATAAATTCCAGAAAAGTGGTAAAATTCTTGTTGAGAAAGTTTGCCCCAGTGAATAATCTTGCAGATATGCTCACTAAATTTCTGCCTACACCCACTTTTGAGTAATATGTTCATAAAATTGGGATGTGTGGGCTTAGAAGATTGTTATCTTCAGGGGGAGCGACAACCCCTAACTGCACTGGAATGGACAATCTAGAAGGCTTTTGAAATCCTGAAGATTATGTTCCGAAAGCATATGGTTGTACTCTTTTTCCCTTAGCTAAGTTTTTCCCCACATGGTTTTCTTAGGCTACGGTTTTTAATGAGGCAACTGGTGTTGGTGTACTTGAGTGGATAGTCCTGAAGACCCTTGAAATCTTGAAGATTATGCCTGGAAGGCTTATGGTTGTACTCTTTTCCTTAGCTAAGTTTTTTTCCCACTGGGTTTTCTTAGGCTAATGTTTTTAATGAGGCAACAGGTGCAACACATGGTTTGACATACTTCGTGTACTCTTTTTCTCGTCTAGATTTTTCAACTGGATTTTCTAGCGAGGTTTTTAACGAGGCATGAGTATAGTTATTTAATGGCCAAGGGGGAGTGTTATAAATATGTTATTATTATGGCCATTAAACTTGAGACATTTCCTTAGCCTTTACTTATTACATGAATTATGATGAGTATGTGAAAGGTTGTAATGGTCCCTATAAATTGAGGGTGAATGCTTAATGAAAAGATGATCTTATAAAATTGTGTTCTATACATTGTGTTCTTCATCTCCCTTTTACTTATCTATTCTATATACTCATATACATACAATCACGAAGCAGTATTGTGCAAACGTCACGCGAAAACTGAGCTAGTTGATATGCCAAATTACAACAAAATTAAAATTTTTGTCAGAATTGAAAAAAACAAAAAAAAAAAAAAACAAAAAAAAAAAAAAAAAAAAAAACAAAAAGTTAACATGTGGAGTATGGACGTGACTTACGTATGTAGTGACTTAGTGAGCGACTGAGCATATTAATATTAAGATAATTGTCAATTGGTCACCACTCTAATTTTTTTTCCTCTCCATATTAGCTCAACTTTTCTTACAACAACTCAATTAAAAATCCATGCCATTAGGAATGGCAATAGGGGCGGGGTGGGTGCGGGGGATATATTCCCCGCCCCCACACCCGCACCCGCGCGAGTAATGAAATTCCAATCTTATACCCGTTTCCGTGGGAATTTTGTGGGTGTGGGTAATACTCAACCCGCAATTCTAATTATTAATATTACACTTAAATCTAATAAAAATTTTATACTACAATTCTAATTATCACATAGATTTTTCTTATAAGTTTGAATATAACTCTAAAATTTAATAAGATCTAATGATGTTAGTCCTTAATTGGAACCAAAATTGTGTTGGTAGTATAAATTGTATTAAGGGGGCGTTTGGTTCAGGTTATATAACATAACTAAGGGAATGTAACATTCCAAAGCTCACATTCCTATGTTTAGTTCATATTATCTCAGGGAATCTAACACATTCCCCAAGAATGTCACATTCCCTCCACATAGGATTTTGAGGGGAATGCGATTCCCTTCAATTTCTAAAGTTATGTAAAATAACATTGGTTATGTTAGTTTATCTCTCTCTCTCTCTCTCTCTCTCTCTCTCTCTCTCTCTCTCTCACACACACACACACACACACACACACACACACACACACACACACACATATATATATATATATATATATATATATATATATATATATATATATATATATATATATATATATATATATATATATTATAATATTATTTTTGTAATTATATATATATATTTTTTATTATGTTAGGTTAGCATATATAATAATTTTGTTTCTCAAGTTCAATATTTTAGTTAATATTTTAAAATCATGTAATTATATATGATACCGCTATCTTATTTATTTATTTTAAATTTTAAATTTATTAAAATATATGAAAATATGTTAATGATATTATAGTGTGTGAATAAAAGATAACCCTAAACCAAACATTATTATATTACATACCCCAATTTTAACCAAACACAGGAATCTAACATTCCCAGTAATCTAACATTCTCAGCAATCTAACATTCCCTAAGGTAATCTGACATTTCGTGAACCAAACGACCCCTAAGTGTTTACTCATTATGTTATTTGTATTGTTCCTATTCAAACTTCATAAACAAAAAATTAAGAAGTTTACTTCATTATGTATTTTTTAATTATAAAATATACATAAACTTATATAATAAATGAATATTAATAATAATATATATAAGTGCGGGGCGAGGATACCTCCCCTCGCACCCGCGCGGATATACAAAATTGGCAAATTATGCCCTGGACCCGTGTCCACAATGCATTGTGGACACGAGTCCAAAACGACGTCGTTTTTAAGAAAAACGCGTCATTCCAGTTTTAAAAAAATTTGATTTTGTCTCGCCGTTAACGGCGTTATTCGTTTGTGCCATTATGAATGTACAGTTATGGGATTATGAATGTACAGTTATGGCATTATGAATGTACAGTTATAACATTATGAATGTAAGTTATAAAATTATAAACACAGAATTCTGACATTACTAACTTACAATTATGAACATATAGTGATAAAATTATGAACATAGAGCTCTAAAATTGTGAACATGGAGCTTCGAAAATTATGATTTTACAGTTATTGAATTATGAATGTACAGTTATGCAATTATGAATATACAGTTATGCAATTATGAACACAGAGCTCTGACATTATGAACTTACAATATGAACATATAGTGATAAAATTATGAACATAGAGCTCTAAAATTGTGAACATAGAGCTTCAAAAATTATGAAGTTACAGTTATTGAATTATAAATGTACAGTTACGGAATTATGAATGTACAGTTATGGAAGTATGAATGTACAGTTATTGAATTATGAACATAGAGCTCTGACATTATGAACTTACAATTATGAATATATAGCAATTAAATTATGAACATATACTCCTATAACGAATCTGAAATTAAAAATAAAAAAAATAAAAAAATAAAAAAATAAAAAAAGATAACAGTGCCTAACGGCATTGTTACCCGTGTCCAGCATGCAGGCTAGACACGGGTCCAGAGCATAACGATTGTACAAAATTTTCACATACCTGCACCCATTACTCAAATTGTGCGGGTATTTTAAAATTCGTAGGGACGAGGATGTCAGGAACCCATTGGGTGCGGGTAGAATTGACATCTCTACATGCCAATGGGTTTTTGTTATTAAGAGGTAAAATTATAAAGAAAAAATAAGATGTTTTTTTTTCCAAACTGGGGAATGCTGGTGCCAACCAAAAGCCCAGGCTAGATCTGAAAGATTTTGATCTGTTAAGTACGGCATGGAATGCAATATTAAAAATTTACCTTCTTCTTCACATGGATGGGCTAAAATCTAGAATTGAATTTTCCAGAAAATAGGAAATCTCATTCCCAATCAAGAATCAACTATCCACGTAGGCCCCTACCAAAAATGGAGTCCACAAGAATTAAATAAAAATAATAAAATTCCAATGGGCTAACCCACCTACCCCGCCCCCACCCCAGCCAAGCCGAAACCCTAAGGATGGGCTCCAACCCTCAAAAGCCATGGCCTGAAACCATTGACCACATAACCCTAAAGAAACACGCACTAAAACACACAGAGTACACGCACTAAAAGCAATAAATGGACCTCAAAGTCCATATCCAATACAGTTGAATTCTTGGAGAATTGCCCTTCTCAATCTGATTACAATACCCCAATTCAAGCTTATCACTTTACCAATTCTGACCAACCAACCCCAAAAGTAAGGTCCAGTAGATTTCTCGGGTTCAAGCCCAATTCTCTCTCTCTCCCTCCCTCCCTCCGTCCACTCCTTCCCCCTCTCTCTCTCCTCGCCGGCGGAACCCTAGATCTGGTGTGTTTCCGGGGGCTGAGGTTCGCCGTTTCAGCTTCAGATTGAAGACTCAGGGTTCGTTTCGTCGTTTGGGTATCTGAGAAGATTGGATTTTGAGATCTGGGTTTCTCCCAAGAGCCTATTCTTTGGGGGCCAGGTTAGGACTCTCGACTCCTTGTTTCTTTTCCTTGTTTATTTTGTGATTTTGGGTTTTCCTAAAGTTAAGATTTTTCTTTTTGATGTTTGATTCCCATTTTTCTTGATTTAAGGTTTGACCGTGCATCAGTTGTTAATGTTCCTGATTTTCGTGGTGGTGCTCTTACCTAATTGCTTTTGTTTTTTTTGAAATTTTAATTTCTTTGAGTTTTCATAATTTGTATTTAATTTTTGCTAATGTCTCCAGTTATTGATCGAGTTCATTTCCAAATAAATGCGTTTCTACTATCTTTAAAGATCGGTTTGTTTTGCTTCATTTCTTTCACTTGATTGTGTTCATGCTGATCTTTTTCTGGGCTTTGTTTGGATCTGTGTACAAGCCCAACTCTGTTGAATTTTCAGATCTATTACTTGTGCTTAGGCACAGTTGTTGAACGTTGACTTGTTAGCCCGAGGAGTAAAATGTCCATTTTAATCCTTATAGGTGGGCAAAATTGGCATAAGCCTTTGTATGGACTTTGGAAGCACTTGCCCAGTTAGCCTCACTTAGATACAAAACCATTTCCAGTTGTCCATAACATTATTTCTTTGGGCTCAACTTGTCACTGAGACAACCTGAGTGTATATGCAGTAAATTACCAGGACTGCCCCTGGGCTGCCAAAATAAGAAGAGAACATTTAAATATTTAATGTGGTTATGTCTTTGTAGCTGTAGTGGTGACTAAGTTCTTGTAACTATGTTTATCTCGATCGTATAAAGACTGGATGCTACTAATTCTTCGGAGATTTACTTGCAGTTGTGTACTTGTGTTAATGATGAGTGAAGCCAGTAAATCCAAAAGTGCCTTTTTTTCTAACCATTTCTCGAGCATGGTTTAATGTTGGATATGCATATGCCATGAGCATTCGTTTATCAATGTGTACTTCTCTGCTCTCTACCTTTCATCTCCCTTGGTTGTTGTTCTAAATGTCCTTATTCTTGTAGTGAAGTGACAATAGTGATTTGCTGCTATTTTGTTCTGGATCTCTGAAGCCTTTCTTTTGTCACTTTTTTTTTTTGAAGGATCTCTACTACTTTCTAGTTATCACTCTTGGAGGGGATTTTGCAGGGATTTTGCACCAAGAGCAGAATTCTTCCTCTCGGTTGAAAATGGCTACCCCGGTGGTACCTACTGCTCCCGAAATTCCAACGGAGAACAAAGAAGTTGCAGCTCATGAAGAAATGGCAGCTCACAACGAAGTGGTGGCACACAATGGTATGGTGGCTCATGGTGAGGTGGTAGCTCATGATGATATGGTTGATCAGAATGAAATTGTGGCTCATAATGATATTGTTGCTCAGAATGAAATGGTTGCTCAGAGTGAGATGGTGGCTCATAATGATATGGTTGCTCAAAATGAAATGGTGGCTCATGATGATATGGTTGCTCAAAATGAAATGGTGGCTCATGATGATATGGTTGCTCAGAACGAAATGGTGGCGCATGATGATATGGTTGCTCAGAATGAAATGGTGCCTCATAATGATATGGTTGCTCAGAACGAAATGGCGCCTCATAATGATATGGTTGCTCAGAATGAAATGGTGGGGCATGATGATATGGTTGCTCAGAACGAAATGGTGGCTCATAATGATATGGTTGCTCAGAATGAGATGGTGGCGCATAATGATATGGCTACGCAGAATGAAATGGTGTCCCATGATGAAATGATGGCACACGATGAGATGGTGGCTCATGATGATGTGATGGCACACAACGAGATTGTGGCTCAAGATGAGATGGTGTCTCACGACGAGATGGTGGGTCATGATGAAATGGTGGCACACGGTGAGATGTTGGCGCATGGGGAGATGATGGCACACGGCGAGATGGTGGAACACGGTGAGATGGTGGCACATCACGAGCTAATCCCTCATGATGAGATGCTCTTCAACAACAATGTCGATAACAACGAGATAGTCCCCATGGAAACACCAATGGACTATATTGAAACACCACCCAACAGTTTAGAAACACAGCCTAACAAGCGGAGGAAAAAGAAATCAATAGTTTGGGAACATTTCACAATCGAAACTGTTGGTAATGGATGTAGGAGGGCCTGCTGTAAACAGTGCAAGCAATCCTTTGCTTACAGTCAAGGATCTAAAGTAGCGGGCACTAGTCATCTTAAACGACACATTGCTAAAGGTGCCTGCCCGGTAGTGCTTCGTAATCAACAACAACAACAACAACAGAATAATAGCCCATATAGTGAACCTACAAAATTGGTTGCATATGAGGCCAGCACTGAACCACCAAAACGGCGTTACCGAACTGCTAGTACGCCATTCTTTGCTTTTGATCCAGACCGCTGTCGGCATGAGATTTCTAGGATGATCATCATGCACGAGTATCCCCTTCACATGGTTGAACATCCGGGCTTTGTTGCTTTTGTCCGTAATCTTCAACCTCGGTTTGATATGGTGAGCTTCAACACCGTCCAAGGAGATTGTGTGGCAACTTACCTTAGAGAAAAGCAATCTATTCAGAAAGTGATCGAGGGAATGCCCGGGAGGATATGTCTTACCTTGGACATGTGGTCATCATGTCTCAAGGTTGGCTACGTGTTTATAACTGGGCAGTTCCTCGATAGCGAGTGGAAAATTCACCGGAAAATTCTTAATGTCATCATGGAACCATATCCCGACTCTGATACAGCTTTTAGTCATGCTATTGCCGCTTGTCTTTCTGACTGGAGTATGGAGGGCAAATTGTTCTCAGTCACAATCAATCAACCTTTGACTGATAATAATGCAGCAGAAAATGTTCGGGCTTTACTGTCTGTGAAGAACCCTCTTATTCTCAATGGTCAACTGTTGCTTGGAAATTGCCTTGCTCATACTTTAAGCAGCATCGCAGAAGATGCATTGAAGTATATGCATGAAACCGTCAAGAAAGTTAGAGACAGTGTGAAGTACGTTAAAACTTCAGAATCCCACGAGGAAAAGTTTCTTGAGCTTAAATATCAACTACAAGTGCCTAGCACAAAGGTGCTCACACTCGATGACAAAACTCAATGGAACACAACATATGAGATGTTATTGGCTGCATCGGAGTTGAAGGAAGTATTTTCTTGTTTGGATACTTCTGATCCCGACTACACGGGTGGCCCGTCAATGGATGACTGGAAGAAGGTCGAGACACTCTGCGCTTACTTGAAAATCCTCTTTGACACTGCTAATCTTCTCACCGCACCAACAATCTCGACCACGAACACGTTCTTCCATGAAGCATGGAAGATACAGTTGGAATTGGCCCGTGCAGCAGCCAGTGAGGATCCGTTCATCAGTGGCCTTACAAAGTCTATGCAAGAGATGTTCGATAATTATTGGAAGAGTTGTTGCCTTATTTTAGCAATTGCAGTAGTTATGGATCCACGCTTTAAAATGAAGCTGGTCGAGTTCAGCTTCTCAAAAATATATGGCGACGATGCTGCAAAATACGTGAAGTTTGTCGATGAGGGAATCCACGAGCTCTTCATGGAATACGTAGCACTTCCCCTGCCTCTAACCCCTACGTATATCGAAGAAGCAAATGGTGGAGCCATTAAAACCGAGGACGAAGGACTCTCTGGTAATGGACTTGGGTTTTCCGATTTCGATGTCTACATTATGGAGACAACAAGCCAGCAATCAAAGTCAGAGCTGGATCAATACCTAGAGGAGTCATTGTTGCCCCGAGTTCACGAGTTTGATGTAGTAGGTTGGTGGAAACTAAACAGGAAGAAGTACCCAACGCTCTCAAAGATGGCTCGTGATATCTTAACAGTTCCCGTATGTACTGTCCCTGCAGACTCTGTGTTCTGCACAGCCAGCAAAGAGATGAGCAGTTACAGATGCTCGTTGCGGCCTGAGACGGTGGAGGCCCTAATATGCGCCAAGGATTGGCTTCAGAATGAGACTACAGAAAATATGATGACTCAACCTATAAAAATGGAAGTCCCAATATAGTGTTGTGTAATGTGTTTTTAAGTAGAGTGTAGAATGGCATGTAGTGAAGAGAACTCAATTTTAATTTAGGGTGTATAATTTATCTTTGGGCAGATTTGACATTGAACCATCTTCTTCTGTATGATATAATTATTGAATCCTCTAGGTGAATTGACTTCAAAGTCTGTTCTCTGTTTCCAGCTGTGTCTCAATCTGGGATGTGACTTTGACGGGGTGTTTGGTTGGGAGGAAGGAAAGGAATTGTTTTGGTAGGGAAGAATAGAATTATTGGAGATGAGAAGGAAAAAGTGGTATAAAGACTAAAATGTCTTTGTGTATAATAATAATAATAATAATAATAATAATAATAATCAATAAGGATATTTTTATTATTTTTTTACGCTATTTTCTTTTCCAAAAATATTGAATTGCAATTCATTGGATTATCTCTATAGAATTGTAATTCTCTCAAATCAAACACCGTAATTAAAGCCTTCATTGAATTACAATTTAATTACAACTATATTACATCCAACCAAACACCCATGAGCATATAGGCATAAGCTTGAGTTGCTTGATTAGGTAGTCTTTTGGACATTTCAAAAAGGAGAAAGTAAATAAAGGAGTTTTCAGTGTACTTTTATTTCATGAGTTATTGGACCAATATTCAAGTTACCTTTATCTCAATTCTCAAAGGTTGCCATTTTGATAGCCTTTAACTTTCAAGCTATGTTACATTAAAAAAAAAAAAAAAAAAGGAAAAAGTATAAATAGGTCACTGAACTATTTGGGGATAATAATTAAGTCACCAAACTCGAATAAACTCTAAATTCATTAATGAATTCTGAGAAAAAGAACAATTAGTATTTTTAGCTATTGGGATGTTATTATTATTATTATTGTTATTGTTATTATTATAAGACCCTCTACCTAGATGTCATGTTTTCCTAATTTATAACTACGAAAACAAGATAAGGAGGGTAAAATAAGAAAAAACTTTAAATATATAGAAAATATATAAATTATTACTGATTATGCCAACTTGCTTACAGAACCAGAAAGATTTAAGTTTGCAAGAGACACCTCGTTTGGTAGAAGACACCTTAGCTTTTGGAGTCGTTCTCCTTTCTTCTTTGGATTGTAAGACACTACTCCAAAACTTATTTGTTTTTATCATTATTTTAAACATTTTCCGAGACAAAACATTAACTACAATTTTAACTTTCTTGTTTCTAAACTTCACCCTATGACCAACATGACATCCAGGAAGAAAGTCAAATGCTTGTTAGGATAAAATAATAATAAAAAAATAAAATAAAATATACACAATCAGCGCAAACCTGTTGTTAACCTGCTAAAAATGATAATTGCTCTTTTTTTCCAGGTTCATGAATGAATTTGGAATTTATTCGAGTTCGATGGCTTAATTGTTATCCCCCAAATAGTTCAATGACCTATTTGTACATTTTCTCAAAAAAATATTCCACATCACTAAGTAGACAAATTTCAAGGATAAATCCAACTTAAGAGACTAAAATATGAAAAAAAAAAAATAAAAATTGCAGGGGTAATTAGGGAGAAGATAGGGATTTTGAAGAAGTTGAAATCAACTGGAGTAGAAACGCAGATCTTGGTAGTGTTTTAGGGTAATTACGAGAGAAGTATAAGGGTAAAATAGTCCAACCAATTCAATTTTTTTCCACCTGTTATGAAAATTAGTATTTTCGCCCGTGCGATACACAAAATGGAATTGTTGTAATATATTAAGAATATTTAAATCGATAAAGATTTAATTTCACCAGAGGTCGCTTATCTTTCCTAACAATTCCAAATTTAATCCTAGACTATAGTTATTAATTATTATTACGATTTATTCTATGTTATAACTTATAATTCTTACGTTAATATTCTTACTATTATTATTAACACTTAATTACTTTTAAATATTACTTTTACCACTTCTATTATTATTATTATTATTATTATTATTATTATTATTATTATTATTAGTTTCTTTTCAAGTTTTGTTAGTATATAATGGCCATGAGGCACAAAATAATAATATAACCATAATTAAATATTCTTGTATTGTATTCCGTGAGTCACAATAATAATATAACAATAATTGTGACACCCCGTAATCTAAATTCGATTAAGAGATTAATTAAATAATTAATCATATTTCAATTGGTAATTTAATTTCTTAAATTCTTGAAAATTCAATAGTCGGGGACTAGTAATTGACTAGTCAACTCTAAAGTCAAAGTTGCACCTTGAGCTTTGTAAGAAGTTCCCTTGTTCCCTTACACCTCTTCATGTTAGTAAGGGTATTCTTGACTTTTCACCTTGTGTTAGTATTGTAAGCTAACCTAGTAAAAACACCCTCATTTATCTCCTTACATTTTCCAAATTCTAGCTCCACCTTCTCTCTAAAAAGGTAGATAGTTTTTCTTCCAAGCCAAGTTGAAGCTTTGTCAAAATCTACCTTTCTTATTGAAATTAATGAGTAAGTTAACGGTGAACTAACAGAAATTAACGAAAAAGATAATATTTAACGGAAAAGTTAACGGATAATCATATTCATTAAGCATTAATTAGGAAATCTTAAGGAAAAATTAAAATCTAATAAGAGGAAATTAGAGTACTAATTATGTCAACTTCGATTGGGATGTGGTTCGAACCTAAGACCTTTCTTATATTGAAATTAATGAGTAAATTAACGGTGAACTAACAGAAATTAACGGAAAAGTTAACGGATAATCATATTCATTAAGGATAAATTAGAAAATCATAAGGAAAAATTAAAATCTGATCAATCTGAGCCATTCATTTGATTAAAAAATTTGACCGTCATTTTTTCTACCTATTATAAGGCCTAACTCTCTTGGGTTGTTATTAGTATAGTAGATATTCATTAATAGTACTAATTCTCGTAGGTAGGATGTACAAATGTATATAATATGTATCAACAAGAAGAGAAGATAGATCAAAAGGCACTCTTTTATTCATATGTATTCTCTTCATTCCTTGTAGTGACAAGTTAGAGAGAATCATGCATATAGAAAGAGAGAGAGGGTGCCGAGAGAAATAAAAATAGAGTTAATACCCAAAATCGTCCTCGACTATAGTGGTTTTTCTCAATTTCGTCCTAAACGACTTTGGTGACCTAATATCGTCCCAGACTTTTGTGTTTTGCTCAATTTAGTCCTCCATTTGTTATTCCGTCAAATTGGTGTTAAATAAAGGGACAATTCAGTAATGTCAATATTGATCTCTCTTTACTTTCAACTTGTGAAGTGCGAAATTCCTCTTTCTTGTACGAATTACACCCAGAATTACTCCCGGACCTGCAAATCAAATTTTATATTCGCAGTTTTAGGAGTAATTTTGGGAGTAATTCGTAAAAAAAAAAAAGGGATTTCGCAGTTCACATGTCTATGAGTAAAGAGATGCCAATATTAAAATTACTGAATTGTCTATTTATTTAACACCAAATGGACAGAATAACAAATGAAGGACTAAATTGAGCAAAAACACAAAAGTCTGAGACTAAATTGAGCGAAACACAAAAGTCTGGGACGATATTAGGTCACCAAAGTCGTTTAGGAGGAAATTGAGAAAAACCACTATAGTCGAGGACGATTTTGGATATTAACTCAATAAAAATATGGAGTCCTTTAAGCCCAAGGGCTAAAGGCCCTCAACCGAGGTTGCGGGTTTGACCCGTCACCTTTGACCCCGACCCGTAGGTCAAGACTCGAACCGCGAGACCCCGACCCGACTGTAAGTGATGGCATGGACCCGGGGTATATAACTTATCATAAAGCCCCCACAGCCCGTGCTCTGACGATGAGTTGCCGAGGAAGGGTTCGGGCTGGAAAAACTGGTTAGATGGTACGTGACATGTGGCGGTTGCCTCGTTAAAAACCTTAGGCTAACAAAAAACCCAGTGGGAAAAAACTTTAGCCAAGAAAAAGAGTACAACGCAAAACACAGTCTGGTGGACCAAAAGGGAGCGCCGGACCCAATGGTCGAACTTGCAACGCAACTTGCAAAAGGTTAAACTCAACTGGTCCAACGAGCGGACTGTCGAACGTGACCGGGTGGTCGATTCAATTGCGATCTGGAGATCTACTTAACCAACTATGTGGTTGGATTTGCTTACGACCGAGAAATTTGATTTACTCGGGCGAAAAGTTAATCGGGCAAAACGTTATTCAGGCGAAATGAACGCGATTTGACAGTTTCGACCGACGAACTTGCTATTCGGGCCGGTGCAGCCCCCACTTTCGTAGGTGCGAGAATCGTCAGCATAAGGGAGTGGATACGACGGGTTACCGATCAGGAAGAGACCCACCCGGGTTTGGTGCTAAAGCACCGAGCTACACCCATATCGTCGACGATCGGGAAACGACATCGCGATCGAAAAATGACTCGACCGGGTTCGCGATGCGAGTGCACCCGGCTATATCCACCACGTCGACGATCGGGAACGACACCGCTAACGAGTGGTACATACACATCGCTAAAAAGCGGTAAAACATCGCACAAAGGCGGTAAACACATCGCTAAAAGTGGCATTGCCCAGAGGCGGTAAGCACATCGCTAAAGAGCGGCATCGCTAAGAAGCGGTATATACATCGCTGAAAAGCGGCATCGCTAAGAAGCGGGTTAAATACATCGATGGAGAGCGGCATCGCTAAGAAGCGGTATAGATACGTCGCTAAAGAGCGGCATCGCTAAGAAGCGGGATAAATACATTGCTGGAGAGCGGCATCGCTAAGAAGAGGTATAGATACGTCGCTAAAGAGCGGCATCACTAAGAAGAGGGATAAATACATCGCTAAGAAGCGGTATAGATACGTCGCTAAAGAGCGAAAAAAACTTCGCTAAAAACGGGGCATCGCCAAGAGGCGGTATCAACCTTTTAGTTAGGCTCAATACCGATGAAAGAGGGATCTTTAGGAATAACCGGACTCATAGCTCCGGTGGTGGCAATGCCGACTTAACCGGTCGCAGAGTGCCAGCGGTGGCGAGGCCAACCTAACTGGTCTTAGAAATGCCGGAGGTGGCAGTGCCGACCTACTCGGTCTAAAAAAGCGCGTAGCTTACTTTCACTTCTTGCCGGAGGTGGTAGTGCCGACCTACTCGGACTAAAGAAGAAGTGCGTTGGCCGACCGGGCGCATGGCCTCAAGCGAC